GACCTATGAAGCACTCCTGCACCCTAAGGTATTATTATCATTAGCCCAGGCCTGAAAGCTCTTGTCTCCTTGAAGCAGTCAGACGCCATTGATTTCATTTAGCCCCAAACCCTCTGTGAAGAGAGTGCATCAGCCCTCCAGTGGGTATTTAACCCTGATGGCCCAGATGCCGCATGGAAGCGCCTCCAAGGGGGGCTTGGTTTCTGGTAGGGTATCAATCATATAGGGTTATTTTCTCAGAATTAGAGCGGTGCTGGGGAGAAGGGCGATTGGGAAAATTGACTGGCACATGACAGCTCAGGCAGGGGAAGATGAGGTCTGAGTCCAGAGCCTGGAGGCCCCCAGAGGCCAGTGTAAACCAGGGGAGGACTTGGATGCTGCAGCTCTGTTGTCTCCTGGCTGCCCACACTGCTGCACTAGCCTTGCCTACAGCATGCTAGGGGTGTGCATCACACACATGCCACCATCACCCCCAGTCATCGGGGCTCAAAGGATCCCCTGCTTTACCTGTATTCCTTATGGCTTCCCGCAAATCTGAGCTCAGGAAAACACCAGAGTTCTTCTGGATGTTCTGGAAAACACTCTGATATGGAAAAGAAGCAAGAAGCCTTGTGAGTCTCATTGCCCACCTTGAAGAAGATGTCCTGGGTAGAGGGAGGTCCCAGAAGTCCCTTTTCCATCGCTGGAGGCTGCTTCACTAAAGCTCAGAGGCAGGCAGCGCAGTCCAGCCGAGGACCGAGGAAGGCAGGGGTGGGCTCTGCATGATGAAGCACCCACTCTGACTTCCAGCAGCTGGGCTATAGGTTCCCCTCCCAGGCCCGCAGCTCCTGCTAAACCAACCTGCCCTCTCCTCTTCCTCACCCTCTAGACTGGGCTCACTGCTTTCCAGGGAGGTGAACAGCTCTTTAAAGAGTTTGCATAGGGGGGTGGTTAAGAGCACATGAACTTTACAACCAAACTGCTGGGTTTACATCCCAGCTGCATTGCTTTGGGCAAGTTACTTCATCTTTCTAGGAGCTAGGTACTATGATTAACCCTGTGCTACAAATAGGGAAACAGGACTCATCTGCGATTTTGCCATATCTCCTGGGAGATGGAGGGGAAGGGAATGAGGTGAATTGGCAGCCTGGGGATGCCCCAGTGGGCCACGGGGGGGATGAGGAGCACAAGGCTAGCTGGTGGTTTTAGCTGTAGTGCAACCACCAGCCTCCTAGAGCAGCGGTTCTCAACCTTCCTAATGCCGTGACCCCTTAGTAGAGTTCCTCATGTTGTGGTGACCCCCAACCATAAAATTATTTTCACTGCTACTCTATAACTGTCATTTTGCTACTGTTATGAATCGTAATGTAAACATCTTTTTGTTTTCCGATGGTCTTAGGCGACCCCTGTGAAAGGGTCGTTCGACCCCCAAAGGGGTCGCGACCCACAGGTTGAGAACCGCTGCCCTAGAGCAATCCTATTCTGCCACTTGATCAGGCATTGCCTTCTGGCGGTGCATATACGCCTCTCCAAACAAAATGGGAGCTCTCCCTGAGGGCAGGGATGAGGTTCCTTTTCTTTTGTATACCTCAACCCTGGTACAGGGTCAGGCACCCAGTAAATATCTGCTGAACTGGATGGAGTAAGAGTGCTAGTCAAAAAGAAACATGCTGGCACCTGGCAGCAGACAAGACGGCTCCACAGTCTTGAAAACTCCCCTTGGTTCAGCAGCCCATTCACTTTCAGCTGCTGGGGAGTTAAAGAGTTAACCAGGCCAGCGTGCAGTGAGCAGAGGGGCAGTGGGTCCTGACAATGAGGTCTCCATCCGTCAGCTAGTAACATAGTCAGTCCAACGTCACCAGGATGGGAAGTGGCCCCATGCCAGCTACCTCCCGCTGCATCTGCAAGGGGCCTAGCTTAGATTTATTTTACAAGGGAAAATAGTGAATTGGAAGGAGAAGAAAGATCTGAGAGAGGTTGGGGGGCGGCAACATCCCTTGCATCCAGGGGAAGAGAGAAAGCCCGAAACATAGCCCCCAAAGACTTCACCAGTTGGAGTAGGCCCCTGGCAGGGGAGAGTGGGGCAGAGTATGAAGGGGTCGTGTCAACTCCTGAAGCAACAAAATATGTGCCAGGTGTGCACACGAGTGGATGGAGTGCATTAATTGTATTAAAGCCAACCCTGGTCACTCCATACCATGGGTTTAATGAGAACTAATGAAAAGAAAGGAATGGATCTCTGAGGAACTGGAGTGTGAGCAGGAGGAAGGGTAGAAAAGACCAGACTGCTTTGCAGGGGCCTGGCAGATGTGATGGCCCTGGGGTTATCTGCCCCAGGCCATGGAGCTGCCATGGCCATTTTGATTCATCTGCAGGTATGGGCTGTGTCTCTGAGTGATTCCAAACCCTGCTGTCAGAGACAGGGCCTGATTTATGATTTCAACAGGAAGCCCTCTTGTTCGACAATGGCAGGTTTCAAATTCCCAGTCAAGTCTTGTTAAGAGAAAGAGCTGGGGGATCTGTCTTGCTCCCAGGAGACAGCATGCACCCAAGGAAAGAGCTACAGGCAGCAGCTAGGGATTAGGTATACGTGGAGCTAGTCCCTCCTGCCAGTGGGGACAACAGGTGGAGAGGAGAGAAATGTCTCCTTGGAGAGAGGAGTCAGGAGACCTGGGTTTGATTCCCAGCCCTGCCACTTGAGGCCATGGAACTTGGACAAGCCACTGGGTGGCCCCAATCCTGGCCTCCTCATCTGCAAATACAGCATAATTAATAATGGGGTGCAACTGCTGTGTAGACCTAGGCATTTTCTACAACTTTCAGTGGTTGTTCTCTTTATTGTTAAGTAAGGCATTTAAATAGTGAAGACTCTTCCAGTGGCAAGGGGAGGGGTGGAGAGAAAATAGTGCCAATTGGTGGGGCAAAGACAGAAATCCAGGCACAAACTCTGACTAGATAGATGTGTGATCTGGCCAAATTGCTTAACCTCTCTGAACCCCTGTGTCTTTCATGGTATGATACTACTTCTTATCATAGGAGTGTTGCAAGAATTACAAGGAAAAAACACATGTGTACCCGCACAGTTCCTGGCACACAGCGGATGCCTGGTAGGCGGTGACTATTGTCATTATTGCTGTGGTGGTTCTGGAGAGTTGGCGAGTTAGTCTAGAATCCACAGACACCCAAGCTCTTTGGTGAGCTCTTAGAACCAAGGAAGAAGAGAAAACACTGAGAGCAAAGGGTTCCCTAACATCCTAATTACACTCCTGGGCAAGCCCACAGAGCAGATGGGCTCTTAGAGCTGGGGGGAAGGTGAAGGGATGACTGAAAAGGATACATCCATTAGAGCCACGATGCTCCGGCACTCATCCAAAGAGAATGCATCCTCTGGAAGCCCTGAGATGGGGAGGAAGAGGAACAACTGAAATGTCAGGGAGACGGGCATTGGACTGGGTTGGCAGTGGGGATGAAGTTGGGGGCAGCAGGTCCTTACCTGTCAGGAGTTCCTGGTTGAGAAGGCTCTGAAGCTGGGTGGCATCGATGTTCTGTCCCTGACCCAAACAAGGGAGGAATGCAGGAATCACTCAGTGCCCAGGAGCTTAGGGGCACACCTACCTGACTCTGTAAAAACACTCAGATTTCTAATAACAGTTCCCACCAAGTGCCCATCTCACTGTGTCATCAAGCCTTTTCTGATGGCTCCCAGCCATGGTGATAACTCTCTCCCCTGAACATCTGTAGTGCTGATTACTCCTGACATTTGATACCTTGTGTGGGTCACCTTGCATTTATCTCTTCATTCTTTATTGGATTGAAAGCAGTGCTTGCTTCCTCCCCACTGTGCCTGGCACTTAGGAGCCCTTCAGGAGAAGTATTGTTGAATGAATCAATTCAGCCCTGTAGCTGTGTTTCCCCATCTGCTTCCAGAAAAACACCAAGAAAATATGACTACTGAATGTGTATATATGGTGAGAGGAGGTGAAAACGCTGGGACTGGAGGCTAAGAGAATTTGCTCTAATTGAGCAATTACTTAGCATTAGTCTTCCCAGACACTGAAGCAGAACGGGAGACATCTTGATTTTCCTGGGGAAGAAACTGAGGTTGAGGGGAGGGAAATTTTTCCTGGCCTGAACTTCTGGAGGCATTAACTAGCATTCAATTTTCTACCCGGGACACAGAGTACCTTCATGGTCAGTGTCTTCCATGATGATTTTACGGAGAAGTAGAGCTGCTCTATATGTGGCTGTTTCTTACTTCAGCCTGGTGAAAGCTGAGGGCATAAGGTGACATCAACACCCTGGAAAAGCTTTTACATGCAGGAAACCTGAAGTGAAGTCTCTCAGCAGGTGGCTTTGCACAGTGGCACTAGGTCATGTGGAAGAAGGTGCCTCCTTGGGGTCTTTGAGAACCCCATAGACTACAGACATGCTGTCCGCAGAGCTGGCCTCACTACACAGCACTAAAGCAAAAGCAGTTCTATAGCACATTCTTATGGGAGTCCTTCAGCTAGGAGGATGGCCCCTCCCTCACAACGCGCCCAGAGAAACATATCCTGCCCCTGTCTGAAATTGGCCCTCAGGTCGCTTCTTCAATGCTTCACTGGTTGCTTATGTCAGTGTGAGCTTTTTCCTCAAAAGAATCATGGCACCTCGCTTTGAAGAGCAGTTGACATGCTGGTGAGGGACCCTAACTCACATGGAATCACCAACTAGCATATAAGCAGCTTTGGGGCATGCGTCATATCTCCTTTCTCCCTCCCGAGGACAGCCCCTGACCTGGACCCTGCACCCAATAAACACCAAAACGTTTGAGGAGATGAAGATAGGAAGATGAGGATGGAGATAAGTTAGCCTCAATGAATTCCTCAAGAACTGCACTTTGTCTCTATCGCCTCAATGTAAGATCCCTGAGGATGGATGCTTAGCATTTCCAAAGCTTAGTGTGGTACTTGGAATGTCCTAGGTATTTGGGACATGTTTTCAAACTGAATAAAGGATGGATAGATGGACCCGACCCTGAGGTCGAGTGTGTCCTTGCTTTCCCACAGGAAGCCCCTGGGTTATGGTACCATTACCACCACCATCGCTAGTAAAGGTAACTTGTGGTAATGGTAGGCATAGTAGCAAGTGTTAGTTTAGGGCTAAACAGATATAAGAGGTCAGGAGAGAGGAACAGTGAGCGCAAGGACAAATATTTTGCTGTCAATTTACCAAGGAGGGTACAACCTCTGAGCATAGTTTGCAGGTTGTGCAGAATGATGCCCGGTTGGCCCTGCTCAGGGGTGACCAGCTGAGGTGGGGGAAGGGGCTGAGTGCAGCCGGGCTCCCCCTTCCCAGCCACCCGCCTTGGCACGAAATTGCACCTGTGTCTTATTTCATTCCTATAAAGGCTCTATGAGGAGGCATTTGGTTGTTGTTTGGAGAAGTCTTAATTAGGGAATCTGTACCATTTATCATCTGAGCAATTATATTTTTTTATTTCAGATGTGCAGGTGCATGGACTATATGGAGGATTTTGCCACCTGCCCCTGAAGGAGTCTTGGTCTCAGTTATCCTGTTCAGGTCCTGCTGATCACCTTGGGGGTAGTGACCTTAGCTTGGGCATCTGCTCTGGGGAAGCTAATCTGTCCAGTTCAATGCAAATTAATTGAGCTCCTTCTCTATGCCTGGGCAGTGATAGGTACTGGGGACAAAGAATGCACATGATGTTATCCCTGCCTTCAGGAGCTCGCAGACTGGGGACAATCATCTTGCATCAAGCGAAGTGCATTCTGAATCAGCCCATATGTGGACCTGAATCCTGGGTCCATATTGATTTCAAGGAGGTCCCATACTGAGCTGCTCCTTGCAACATGTACCCTTCATGCCAGCTACATTTTTAATTTCACCTTGTGTTTCCCTTTGGGCCCACACTGCCTAAATAATTTCCCTTTGGGCTGCCTCCCAGTCCTTACTGCCCCATTAGCCCTCTGAATGCCTGGCATCCTTCCTGTCCTTGGCCTCTGACTGGCCCAGGGCTGGCTCCACACACATGATCCTCTGTATTAGTGTCTACTTCCCACACCAACATGATAATTAATGGTAAAAAGCTCCTTGTGCAGAGCCCTTGGCATCGGTTTTTAACCTGACAAGTCAAGGAGTTCTTCATAGTGGTTTATAAAACCATTAAGAAAATCCCCTGTACACATAGGTGGCTTGGCAGGAAGAGGGCTGCTGGTGCTTTCTGAAGCCAGCCAGCTCCTGGGGGAAAAGATGCCAAGGTTGGTGAAAGGTGGCAGAGCAGGAGAAGAAAAGATTTCAAGGGGTGTTGCCAATTGCTTGTTTCAAGATTTAAAGAATACACACACACACACACACACCCCATAATGAGCCTTTCCCTTTCCAAGCTCCACATTTCATCCCAGATGTCACCCAGGTAGGGCATCACTTCTCTTCAGGGTTTGGTAGCCAGATCAGTTCTGGAGACATCCAGAGAAAGAGGTTGATAAAATAACTCATCAAGTCATTTATCCTCTCTGTATCTTGATAAAGTCTGGGAGAGATGGTCCCTCCATCACCTGGCCCCATGCTAAGTACTCTACCTGCTGAGCATATTTGTAGAACACGCTTTGTTGGGAGCCATTTTCTGGAAGACCTGCCTGGATCAAAGGGAAAATAGCCACCATCAAATTTCTGGGGAAGGAGGCTACCTATCTGGTATAGTGAGGGCACAAGAACCCCCCCCCCATATCTGAGACAGAGGCTTCATCTAGTATCAGATAAAACCTTTAGGGAAATGGGAAAATGGAAGTTTGTGGAAGGAAGATGGTAGGGTCCAGTCTGGCCTGGGAGGCCTGGTCTTCTCCCCTCTGCCCTGCCCCTTTGAGCCATCATGGGCTCTTATGCTGTCTCTGTTTTCATTGGTCAGTGGTAAAGCAAGAAGGAAGGAAACAGGAACTCTTGGGGATGGGATGTGGCCAAGGAAGCTCACCAGTCAAACCTTGCCACACACTTACCTTCAGTGTTCTGGGGTTGAAATTGGTGCCCATGTTCCTAGAAAATCAGACGGACAATGTGACAAGGGTGACCAGCTCACTAGTCAAAGGAAACTTGCACATAGAAGGCACCCTAGGTGGCACTGGACATGTACATCAAAGACTGAGTGGACAGCCTTAGCACAGCAGGATGTGAAGTGGGCAGACATGGCAGTCAGTAGACAGGTGAGCATCATGACCATGTGTCCAGTCTTTTGTCATCTTGCCCTCAAACCATTAAATAAATGGTTCTTTTCATAACTATGCATGTACTATAACCCCCATTACCAAGACAGCAGGTAAGCTTTGTCTCAAGTTCCAACTCTGATTGGTGGCACAGTGGCTGTCTGGCATGCTGGGTTCAGAAGGCCTCATCCATGTTTAACTGTAAAGACTGCCATGATTACAGTGATGTCTACTGTGGGTACAAGGGGGATGAGGCACCTAGCAGGGTGTGTATTCATTGATACCAGCCTTGACCATTAACCTGGCATAGAAGACCCTTCATGATTGGACTCTATCTTTCAGGCCCATCTTTCACTTTATCCCTGTTGTACCCCACATTTTGGCCACATTTCATACAATTACCATGTATATCATGTACTACCTTCCTTTATGTATGGCCAATATCACTTAACAAGCCCTGTGCTCACCCATCCCTGCTTCTGCTCATGCTTTTTTCTTCTACCTGCATTGTCCTCTCCTCTGAAACATTAAATTATGTTTCCCATCAAGGACTAGCTCAAATGCCATTTCCTCCAAGAAGCCTTCCTGAGTACCTCTTGCCAGAGGTGGACCCCTTCATTTTGTCCTCCCATGTGACTTGGCATCATGTCACTTGGCATTTCCATCGAGCAATTGTTTTTTTTTGTTTGTGGCCTAGTTATTGGTTCACAGATTTTCTTGCCTCCCCCTTTGTGGTGAGCGTTTTGAGAGTGGGGCCCATGCTGACACAGTATGTGCTGCATGGAATGACACAATGTGTTTTTATAAAAAATGTAGAATAAAACACTTAGAACCCCAGAGGTTCTTACCTGTCACTGCCTGGCATTTTCTGGAAGATTCGAAGCAAGAACTCAACTTCTCTCCACACAGACACAGCTACCACATAGGTCCCCGGGCTCAGAGTGAAGCACTTTGTGAAGTTCCACTTGGTTTTAGTCTTTATGCCGTTGCAAGGATTTCGGAGTGGGGAAAAAAAGGTGGGTGGCAACCTCTCCCGGAAGTGTTGGAACTAGAGGAAACATGATGGTGAGAAAGCTCCCTGTGTGCATGCGTCCCAGCCAACAGGAGCGACCCACTACCTTCCAGACCCCTCTCCATTTACCACGGCAGCACTAGAGGCCCTGAAAAGGAAGATGGTGCTTACCTGAACTTTCAAAATGCAATAGTGTTTAGGCTGTTATTTAATATAGATGCTAACACTACAATCAATGCAAAGATATCTGACATACGGTTTTGCCACATTAAACCCAACAGCATCCTGGGTTTCCGGGTTTATCTCTCTGCTTATATATACAGAAGATTTTCATGAAAACTAGTGAGGTTGTTCCAACACTGAATTACTGTGGGAGTCCCCAGCGCCCCTTCTGTCCTGAACTTTTTCAAAGCACCCTTTGGACTGCTACAGCACTGCAGAGTTGGACTCCTTTCACTCCCTCCATCTCATCTTTCCAGCAGAGAGCCCTGACATTTCTTCTCATTGAAGAATAATAGGCCCTGATCATTTTCCTTTTATTTCAATATTTTCTTAGAGATAAAACAATAAATATAATGCAGTTCCTATTACTGGATGTCACATACATATTACATAATAAAAACCCCTTACTAAATAAATTTTCCCCAATACAGTCGAGCATGGGGATTCCATTTAGAATGGTTACACAGCATGAAATGATTATTTGTGAGCTCTGCCTTGGGGAAAAACAAGGAGAAGGGAAGAGTTTCTTTTCAGGGGGCGGGGGTCAGGGCTGGGCTTTAAGATGAGATAGGAGCTAGGCCACTGTCCCAGGTATGCAGCAGGGGGCTGGGTGGCGCCTCCAAAGTGGTTCTGGTGGCATTAACAGCAGCACCAGTGGGTTTGGAGCATGATTTGCTTGGGCCCTTCTGGCAAAAGCAATGATGAGCTCAGTTCTTCTCCAGAGAGTCCGCACTGACCCGTGGCTGTGTGTGTGTGTGTGTGTGTGTGTGTGTGTGTGTGTGTGTGTGTGCGCGCGCGCGCGCACGTGCATGCGAACACGCATGTCCATGTGTTCATGCATGCAGGTACACATGTGTGGGCATCGTGCCCCCTACAATCTAGAAGATAAGGTTTCCCTGCTCCCTGCTCCCCTGCTCTCCTCCCGCCACTGCACCCCTGTGGCTGTCAAGGCTCCTGATCCTTCAGAACAGACTTGCTCAGTGGCAGCAAGAAGTGTGAGTATGGGGCCATGTTTCCTGGATCCAGCCCCCACCCCGCTCTCCAGCTCTGGCAACTGCAACACCGACCTATTCTTTGTACTGAGTGCTTTCCTTGAAGCCCTTCCAAAAGTTCCTCTTCCATGATTGGGGTACCGGGGACCAAAATCGGATCCTAAACCCAGCTCTGTGGCTGGGTTACTGCTGTGACAGATAGGCCTCTTTGCTGCCTGCTTTGTTCCCCGGGCTTCTGAGTAGCTCCTGCTTGGAGACACCCTGTCTGGCCTCCGTCTAACTGTTGGGACACTCCTGGGAAATCTGGAGGAGTGTCCCTGGACCAGTCAGCATGCTACAGTCACCCACCACTCCTTCTCTTCCATCAGTTGTCCCCCCACAGCAACAGCACCACGGAGCCCACATCCAATTAAGGGGTCTGAGTGCCTGTGAGGTTAGGCTTTCCAAACCCCACCTGTGCTTCTCCATCCTTACTCATATTTTAAGCCACCTTTCACCAATGTTGAGTCAGAATATCTACTTAGGATGGGTGACAATTTGGTTGTAAGAGGAATGAGAGGATGTGGCTTGAAGTTGCATTTGCACAGCATGCATCCTCTTTGTGGTGGATTTGGTGGCTGACAAAGAATATAAGAGGCTAAAGATCCCCTCAAGGTACCCCCTTTAGCCCTGCCTCTCAAATAAAAGGGAACCAGCTGCATAAACCTTATCAACAGCAAGACACATGTCAAGGCCCCGGGTGTTGGAAGAGGCATAACACTTTACCAACGGACAGCAACAGAGGCTTGCGAAGCCCAGGGAGGGCAGCGGTGAACCATACCTTAGGGTCGACCTGTAGGGAAGAAGAAGGAAAACAGGCTCAGGAACCCAAACCAATAGGCAAAGGCAAACGGCTCCCAGCAGCATGGCTCAGGGCCCTGCATACCTTCTTCTTTCATGGTCAGCCTGTTCCCTGGCACAACCAGAAATGAACAGGGACCATTACTCATCCCCTAGGCAGAGCTGTGAAAAAAGAAATTGAACCATTGTAGGGATCAAGAAGGGGAAGGAAACTGAGGAGGGGGAGAAAGTGCCTGAGAGGAGGAGATTCTCTCTTTGTCAGCTCAGCCAGCTACAGTTACGTATCATAGCAATGATGATAAGATTGGGAGGAAAAGTGAGACATTGATGGAGGCTGGAGGTAAGACAGAACCTGGGCCAAATGTAAATTCCCCAATGTCAGAGTTCCAATGAGCTGCAAACTTCTTCTGTCCCATCAGGCCACTGCAAAATGTACTGGGAATTTGTTCTAGGCTCCCTGGTGTTCATAGGGAATGGATGTGTGCATCTGAAATGCCTACGATCCAGTCTTTTCACGTGGCAGAAGGAAGCACTGAGGATGCGGTTCATTTTTAAGCAACTCCACGGTTTGCAAAGTGCTTCTGTGTTGGATTGTCACAGTAATCCTGCAAGCAGATGCTGGGCTCCCTATTTTATGGATGTGGAAGTTGAGGCTCAGCAGTCTAAGTAGCAGAGGTAGGAATAAAGCACATTATGTTGCTTCCTTTGTGGTTAAGACCCACCCCCAGGCACTGTCTCCCACAGTTGGGTTGCACTTCTTTTCCACTGCTGCTCCTGGGTCCTACTTGTGAGTACAGATCACTTGATTTGCCCAGGCAGACTACTCCCGAGACCAAGAGTGAGCTGGAAGGGAGGTGGAAAGTCCCAGCCTGGGGGAGGAGCTTTGGGGTGAAGATAAAATGGGTTGTCCACCCTTGTCTTTTATCTCTTTCCTGTCTTCTCCTTGCCTATTTGTACATCACCCATGTTCAGTTTGATGAAGGCAGAGCAGTGCTCCCATAGCAGTTGAGGAGTCATAGGCCCACAGCAGGGCTGCAGCAACACACATAGTTGTCATCTGGGCAGCACTCTGTCCACAAATGCCATTAGAGCTCTGGAGATATCTGAGAGCCTGGTTGCTGGTATCAACATAGTCTGTTTCTCAGCTGAACTGTGAAAGGAACTCAAGTGTCTCTTGAGGTATCAAGGTCTGGACTATGTTTTGGTGTTCAACTCAATCAGGATCCTGCAAGATCCATTGGGATCTCCAGGGAGCCTGAGAAGATCTTGGGTCTGAGTGCCCCTTTCGGAAAGTAGGCAGTTGAGTAATAATGCATCTATAGCTGAAAAGTTGAGGAATGGTCTTGGCAGCATTTAGAAAACAGATATGATAACAATCCTGCTAGGGCTCCTGAACTGTAAAGACTTTGGGCAAATCAGTTAACACAAGGTCCAGCTCTGGAGCACCAGACTCACAGGTGACAATGCAAACAGCACCCTAAAGAGCTGTGTGCTAGGCAGCCCTAATATCCTTTCTGAGTTTCTGTCTCTCATCAGGAAAGGGAACAGTTGGCTGAGACATTTTTAGTAGTCTTGTTTGGTGTCCTAAACAGTTCAATCCTGGCTGGGTAGACCAGATGTCTCAATTCCTTCCCAACCCTTCCCATTCCTTTTCTTTTGTTCTTCTCAGAGGTGAGAATTGGGGGACACTGAGGATGAGGGTCCTCTTAGAAAGCACCTGAATCATTTGAGATTCCTGGATGAAAGCGATGGAAACTAACCCAGAATAGGTTGAGCAGAAAGTCATTTATGGGAAGGCTAGCTCATAGAGTCAATGAGACATCTAGAGAGTACAGCTTAGAAAGTGGGCAGGAACCAGATGAGATGGTTACACAGCTGGACAACACCACAGGATCTGCCCTCAATGCTGCTGCTGGGCCCAAAGATTTGCTGCAAATAATCCCTCAGCTGGTTCTACCTCTTTGAATTACTTCCTTAACAGTCAAAGCCCAGAGCAACCAAGAGTGTGTATGTGTGGGATGGGGCATGAGGTGAGGACCTAATTGGACAAGCCTGGGTCACAAATCTGTCTCTTTGCATCTGTGGGCTGGGGAGAGGGAATATTTGCCCTCTGCTGCAGTGGGAAAATAGGCCCTGCCTTCCACCAAGGTTCCCCCACCATGTGGAAAAAGTGTTCAGGTGCCTGGTGGTAATGAAAATGTCGACTGTCCACTACTGCATCCTTAGGAGATAATCCTTGATAGCCTCAGCAGGGTTGAGGCACCTCAAAAATACTGTACTAAATCCCAACAATTTCTTTTCCATAGATTTCATACAACTAGGAAGTGGAGATGTGCTTAGAGAGAGCAGAACCCAAAGGGTTCACCTCCTTCTGAAGCCAGAATCATTGTTTTTCCTTGAGTTATGAGCATCACCAGGAAGGCAAGTGCCTAAGCCCTACCGAGAGCCCTGAACCTGGGACCAGATGTTGTAGTATCAAGCACTCCCCTGTCACCTCCTAGTGTGACCTTGGGCAGGTCATTCTTGCTGCCTGAGCTTTGGGCTCCACATCTATAAAAGTGGGGACACTAGGGTTTTTGGAACAATGAATGTGAATAGGCTTGGAACTCTGAAGTACTGCATCACTGTGAGGCCTTCTTAGTACAGTGAAGTATAGCCAGCACACAGGACTGTTCCACTACGACAGTGGAGTGACCAGGCGCCCTACCTGTCCATAAATAGGCTAAGACTCATGGTTGTGAAAGCTGCCTAGTCTCAATGAACAGAAACTGAGATGATTCTTAAAGATGATGTAATCAGAGCTCCAGGCACAGAGGTGATGGGTGTGTTTGATGACAAGCTTGGATGACTCTGGTGCCCAGTCCCTAGCTCTGCCATTAACTCTGACCGTGTCACTTCACCTCACTGAGTCTCAGTTTCTTCAAATCTAATATGAGGAGAGGGGATCGTAGCATTTGGTGGTTGCATGATCTTAGTTATGCAAGTCAGTGCAGAGGGGCTGTGGGGTATATCACTTCAGAACCATTCACTTAATCTTTGGGATGCATTAAATTATTTGGGGTAGGAGGAGGGAGCAGAGGCATTAGATTTTCTGTTGTAACTCTTTTCTTTTAAGTGGTATTTTCAAAAATGAATTCCCTGATTACCTACTCAGAATTAGGGTGCATGCAGGCTTGTGGGTAGGGGAAAGGCCCCTTAGGAGCTGAAAAGCTGGGTTGGGAGTGCCATGAAGTGGAAGGAGGGGAGGCTAGGTGGATGAGTGGCCAAGCAGATACTTGCAAACACACCACTGAGCTATGAATGGACTGTGGTCTAAACATAAGAGAAAAACATACCTCCTGGCTTTATATCCAGGATTATTTTTTTCTTAAACTCCTCCCCAAGTTTTGCCAATCATTCTTAAACTTTCAAATCAATAAGCATCACCCAGGGAGCTCATTACAATGCAGATCTCCAGGCTCTATCCATGGAGATTCAGATTCAGAAGGTTTGGGGGTGGTCCCAGGAATCTGCATTGTTACAACAGCTGGTCTTGGACTAGACTATGTTTTGAGCAACAAGCATTAGAGCCTGCAGAATACCAGGGAATGCTGACAAGTGACACAGGCAGGAGGTGTGCACCGTTGTAAACTTGGTCAAGTCTAATCTCTCTGTCTATGGTTTCCCTGCAAATTTACAGAGTTGGACCAGATGAACTCGATAGCCCCTTTGGGTTTTTATCTCTGTGGCTGTGGTTCAGTGAATTCTCACAGCCTGGTTGGCTGCTCTCTCCCCTCAAGTCATACACAAATGTCCCCAAAGAGCAAGCCCTGAAGCAGGCTGTCTTACCTTGTATACCTGGAAGCCTAGTGGATATTCTTTTGCCTGTAAACTTTCTGGCATGATGTTGAAGGACACAATGACATTGTTGTTTTCTGTGCTCTCTGATACAGAGAAGAAATATTGTGCATCCTTCTGAGGTCCTTCTGCAAGAGAAATAGCTGTTACCAGAGCTCAGGTTGACTCATGGGACTCCTGGAGGGGCCATGTCCAGTTCAGACAGCCCTGGTGGGTTGGGTTAGAAACTCTGGATTTGGAGACCTAAGGCCCAGGTCCCAGTCCCGCAGTTACTCCCTGTGGAACAAACTTCTTTATTCTGTGAGCCTCAGTCTCTTCCTTCTAAAAATGAGGAGGGGGACTATATTCCCCACTGGGTGAGAATGTTTCTTAAACTGTAAAGTTACAGACTATTTTTATAATAAAAACTCCAGAGTCCTCAGGTATGTATGAGTGTACGTATTGGTGATAACATCTGAGCCTTGAAATGATGTTAACCCCAAAAGCACCAACAGAGACAGGAAAATAGGCAAAGAGATGGCAATTCATAATACTCTATCACCCAAGCGAGTGCATCAAAGCCAGAGCAAGAGAGAGAAGGGATGTGAAAACCATTAGTTTCAGATGCATGAAAGAATGAAAAGAACTCAAGATAGAGATGAATGAATACACATCAGAAGGCTTGGGACACAACTGGGCAGCTGTGAAAGGGGGAGAAGGAGACAGAGGATCATCATGGTCATAGGCTTTTGTGAGGTTGAACAAAATGATACATTAAAGTGGGTTAGCAGTACCTAGCAGGTGCTTGCATGCTGGCTCCCATCTCTTTCTGGTAAGGAATTATTAAAAATGGACCCAGTGCATCATTTGGGTTAATCCATTACTATGAACTATCTTCAGGGAAGAGGGCTTTGGCCCCACAGTTAGGCTGGCGCAGCTCAGGTAGGTGAATCAGCAAATTTGCTGCTAAGAGTGACTCAGAGGCTCCTTAGAGTCTGCCCATGGCCTCCTGGTGACTAGGTTGTCTGACCAGCAGAGTGAAGAGCCTGGAGGTTGAAGAGGGACACCCTGGGGTGGTGTCATTCAAGAAAACCATTCTAAACAGGCAGGTGCCAAGGAGAGGGAATGCACATGTCTAGGTATAAACACTCACTCACTCACTCACTCACTCACTCAATCACTCACTCACTCACTCATTCACAAACCTTGTTTACACAGCCTCTCCTATCAAGGATATGTAAGCATCCTCAGCTTCATCTTCCCAGGAAGCTATGTCACTCATCCATACCACACATGGGGAATGGGAGGTGCAGTGAGAATATATGACTCTCCTAAGGTCACAATCAACAAGATTCATTTCAGGGGAGCCCGAAGGCAGAGGCTGAGGGTCAACTTCTGGGATGTCAGCACACTGCTGCAGGACACACCAAACAAAGGGGCAGGAATGTTCTCCTTTATGTCTGGGTGGTGCTTGTGGTTTCAAGGGGCAGATAGGGATTACTAATTCCACTGTTTGCAGATGGGGGCGCTGAGGACAGAGAGGCTAAGTATATTTGCAGAGTCACAAAGCCACTATGTGGTAAGGACAAGGGTTTCACCCAGACTCTGACTTTTGCCCAGTGTCTTTCTACGGCTCCCCCACTGTCCTGGATCATTACTGAAGAGCAGTGAGCCTGTTCTACTCCTGGGAGCTGGGTGGATTTTGCCAGAAGGACAGTGGGATGGGAAAGCACAAAAGGGCAGGGGAGGCACATTTGAGATTCTCCTGCCCACCGCCACCAGCAACCGTTTCCCTTGGAGAAGTATAGCTGTTCTTTTAGGCTGACAAATTCCTCTCCTGCCAACTTTGGGCTGATGGTCCAGAATTAGGGGCCATTGAGACCTGAAGCCAATAGGGCTAGGGCTGGCAGCTTCCCGTCTGGCAGAATAATTACCAATGTGGTCCTTAAACATCTCTTGAGACCATCCTCCTTGGGTCATGTTTCCATGGTCCAGGTTGATTGGAAATTCGTTACATATATACAAACAGGAGAAATTCTCTTGGAAATCTTGGCATGACATCCTGTTAAAAATAGATACACATCACTTAATGACCCTTGGTTTTGTCCTTAGGGTGGGGGTTCCCATCACTTGACTGTACCTTTGCCTGTCAGCTACTATATCCATTGACTTACTACTGTCTTACCCAAAGATCAGACCCTCATTCTGTTCATCCATGGTCAAGTACACTTCTGCTTCCTCCAGTGGTTGGGAGGACAAGGTCAGAATCAAATTCTGGGTTCTGCATGTCAACTGGCAAGTGCTTTATCATTAACTGTCATCTCCTCGGCCCACTGATCAAATCGTGAGCCCACTTGGCCAGCAGGATGACTGCCAGCCTCTCTCTGCTATGGATCCTACACACTGCGAGGAAAACTGCCTTTCCTGGGGCCTTTTGCCAATTTCATTCTTGAGGTCTTTATCAGGATAGAATGCATCCAACACCTAAAATCCTACCTCATGCTATGATTAGAGATACTGAAAATATTTTTCCTTCTCATTTACATTTCTCCCTCTGATTCCTAATTACTTAGATCCAGCCTCCTTTTCCCACGTGCTAAATTTTATTTAACTATGTCACTAAGTAAACTCGTCAACCCCTCAGAAAAATGCCCATCTTATCCTTTAAGATGTGAGCATACGGCTAGAAATGTGTTTTCAAAACATCTAGTCCTACATAGCTGCTGGGCAATGTCAGCAATGTCTCACCCAGAATTCTCGAATCAGGGCTAGGAGATGAACGCTGAGCTGAGCTCCTCTTTTGGAATTTATGCCAGGGGAGACTGTGGAGCTCCAGGGTCCCAAGAAGAAGCATATAAGATACAGGCATAATAACCATGCATCCTAGCTTCCAGGAAACTGTTGGTTGCAAAGTTTTGGTGCCAATATTCCCATTTTACCATTAATATTTCCTGAAAATTTCAATATTTCAGAGCTCAAATACTCACACAAATTGAGAGCACACAAGTAATTTCCAGTCCAAAGCTTCTGTGTCTTGGGGAGAAAAGAATCCTGGTCTCTGCAAAGCTAATCTCTAGTCTCACAAACGTTTAGGGAAAGGGGTAGGGATTGAGGGTTTGGGCAATAGTTAAAGATTTAAAATATAGTTTTAAAAGGAGAGTAAATACCAAAATTCGCCATTGTCCTTATCCTCATACAGCTGGCTTTTCCGTCTGTCTTGAGTTTCCCGCCACTCCAGAGACCTGAGCATGGACAGACAGAACGTAGGGTGAGATCTCCCAGGGCGTTTCATCTCAACCACATGTGGCCCAACAGGGACTCCTTGTACAGTCCTCCATTAGTTCCTGGGTGCAAGTGGAGAGTGCCGTTCTACCTGGTGACCCAAGTCAGTACTTCTCTATATGCTGATGGCTGCCAGGCAATCCCTAGCCTGATTCTCTTTCCCTAGCTTTAGATGGATACAGGCTATGGTCCATCCCACATCTCCACCAGAACCCCCCAGTGGCCTTGAAATCAACTCACCCCAATCTGTTCTCATCTTCTGCCTCCTCCTGTTGCCCAAGAGAATGTGAAAGCCCCTCTCTCTCACCCCCTGCATCCAATCACCAAATATTAACAATTTACTAATTCTACCTCTGAAACGCCTCTCAAAGCCATCTGCTTATTTCCATCCCTCCTGATGTGGTCCTAGTTCAGGAACTCTGACCTCCCTCTTGGACTTCTAAAGGGTCTTCCTGAACTCAGTCCTGCCCGCTTTCCCATCTGTTCTCCACACTGCCATCAAAACGATCTTTCTAAGACAGAAATCTGATTGTGGCATTTCCCTGCTTAAAACACATCGGAAGTTCCCTTTTACTCTCAGGATGAAGTTCAAACTCCTGAAACAGAACCTTGGCCTCTGCCTACCTCTCCAGCTTCACCTGAGCAACTGCCTATTTCCCCACCCCACTGTCACCCTTGAATTCTATGCTCCAGTAACAATGAATGTCTTCATTTCCTTAGAAATACCTGTGCCCATGCTCCCACCTCTTGGCCTTCATCATGAAGCGTCTTCTGCCTGGATTACCCTTTCTCTTTTCAGTCCTGTAACCCGATAACTTTCACTCATCTTTCCTGCTAAACTGCACTTCTGCTAGGAAACTTTGCTTGTCCCCCTCTGACACTCCCACCATGCCCTCCTTTGAGCCCCATGGCACCCTATGCCACTCCTGTCTCAGCACTTAGTACCCTGTGTTACAAGTACTTATTTATTTCTTGTTGTCCCTCACTAGACTTCAAGTTCCGTCAGCCTTGCTCACCATAATAATATCCTCATAGAGGCTTAACACAATGCCTTGGCACATAGTAGGCATGCAATATTTTTTGGCTTGATTAATTAATAATTAAAATTGTCCACTTCACTGGGGTAGTGTATTCCAGAAGCTAGTCCTAGGGTCTGTGGTGAAGGAGGAGACCCTCACAGGCAGAAGGGAGCAGGTGCCCCCTCCTCAGCCAGCTCCTCAAAGTGGAGGTAAGCTCAGAGGCAACAGGCCCCAGAGGCACAGAAGTATAATGAGATCTTTCTCTGTGAGTGGCTTGCGTAGAGGACCTGGGTCACCTCTGTGCTGGGAGAGCGAGGCAGGAACCATCCCTCAGGCTCCTGGCTGTAGGGTGAGCCAGTCAGATGTGCTGTGGTAAAACGGCAATTTTATAATTAAGCAATAATTACATTTTCTGCAGTGTGTAAGGGAAAATAAATGTAGTATAAATCAATACGCTATCGATTCATGCAAGTTTGCCTTTAAGTGTGTGCGGCTGAAATTTCAATTATGACTGAGATTAGACCACCCAGCTCTCTCCATCCATCTCCATTCTTTAAAAAGTAGGGAGGAAATCGACCACCTGCACGGAGACAGTGATTATGCGGCCTTGTTGCTTCCTTCTAGCCTGGTTTCTGGTGGGAAATGGTGAACCTCAGTGCTCAGCCAAAATACCCGATCCTACAGAGTAGGTGCTGCCAGGTCCATCTCCCCAGTCTGTGCAGTGTACACATCTCTGCCCTGCTCAGAGGCCTTCATAAACCCTCAGGCCTGGAGGGTGTGAATCCAAATGTCTAAGCTGGCATTGGGCTCAGCCCCAGCTCGCAGCTTCTCTCCCCGTTTCTTCTGCTTCGGGCCAGCTTGTTGGCCCTGAACACACTGTAACTGTTCCTGGCTCAGCCCAGTGGGCCTACCCTTCCCCACCTCCACAGTGATCTCTTCCAAAGTGAGTCATACTTATTTTTGGAGGTTGAGCTCAAGTTCAATCCCATCCAGGAAGCTTTCCCTGAACACGCCTGCCCATCGGAGGCTTCTCTTTCCTGATCTCTAGCGTCCCTTGTTGGCCGTCACCACTCATTTGATATTTAGCATGGGAGACATGGGCAAAACCTCCACTCCTGTGGTATGTATGGTCTATTCTCCCACCCCAGAAGAATGTGTCATTGACATTCGCCCCTCCTCCAGTCCTGCCCTCAACAGCTACCCCCGAATGAGGAATTCTGGATAATTGTACTACCCCCTGGGCCATATTCGGCAGCTTGGGGTAATGATTGGGAAGGAGAAATGCAAAAGGCCAGAGGCTGTTAAGGTTTACATTATAAAGGGCAAAGGGCACCCCTGGGAAGGAAGGAAGAACAGAGGCAAGAGAAAGGAGATAGGGTGAGTGGGTGAAAACATTGCCCAGTGGTTCCTGGTTTTGCAAGTTTGCTCCCCTTCTGTGGAGGCGACTCAGCTGCCCGGCTCTCCAGGATGTTTCTGGGGTCACATGAGGCTCACGCTATGAACTCATGTTGCTTGCTGCCTCTCTCTTCCCTCTCCACCTTGCTTTCCTATCCTTCACCCTGATGGTATTTCCATCTCCCGTTTGCCGAGTGCCCACTGATGTGGGCTCACGGGGCTCATGGAGGATCAGAGAGGTCCCTGCCACAGCCTAGTCTGGGCCATTGGGCCACACTCTGGGTACTGCTTTTCACTGCTTATTGGGTCCTGTTCTCCTGTATACCTGAACGCTTTGCATTTCCTTTTAGATCATGTTATCGTTCCCACTCCCCGCTTCTCCCCACATATTCCCCAGCCCCTACCCCCAGCAATGCTGCTGTGGCCACTGCTGTATCTCAGCACTTTTCATGGATATACATGAGTCCTCAGAGGACTGCGCCAGGACTGGGCCCTGCTGGCTGCCCAGCGGAGCAAGCACCTGTCACAGGCCCTCTGTCCCGCTCAGGACCATCATCTCACTCTCAGTTAGCGAGGGGGTAGAACCAGGGACTAGTCCTCCTGGCAGCTGGGAAATGCCAGCCCAGCTTCCTCTGTGTGGGAACCGCTGACCACACGGTCAGGTCCCCACGGTCAGCTGTCAGGGAGCAACTGCCTGGGACATGGCCAACAGGGGCACTGAGACCCGCTTAGCTCCATTCACCCCTTTCCTGAGCATCGGTCACCCGTGAGAGTCCAGATCAGCAGGGCAGGAAATCGATCCAGCTGGACTGAGTTAAACGATCATCCAGATTTTTGCCTCGGTTCCCCTGATGCCCCCCAAAATGAAATATTTTCTACCCCAAGGACATGGCATCATCAGGACCAGAATCCCATGGGACCCCTTTATGGGATGAGGCACCTTCTCTCCAGTTCTCCCTGCCAGGTGGAACTTGGCTCCTGACCTGCCCCTCCTTTTTTTTAAACTAATTCTGGATATGTGGGTCCACAGCTCTAGACTGTGACCTTCTGGAAGACAGACTGGGTCTTGTCATCTCTGTATATACCACAGCATCCACCTAACGTACTGTACTGAGTACAAATGGTACACAGCTGATATCTAAAAGATGCTTGGTGAATGGCATCATGGGAGTGTGGGATGGACCAATAGCCACACGTGGGTGTGAACTAGAAAAGCATGCAGTGAGATCCACAGCAGGGGAGGCAGACACCGCCCTCCTGGGGCAGGGTGCACTCTGAACACCGGGTTTCAGTGATGGATAGAGAGGTTTGCAGAAGCCATACCTGTCACTCCAGCGCCCTTGCCATTCGGTGTGGCCCCAAGGGTTCCACAGCCGGATAAGAGCTTCCCAGCCTCTCCTGTACTGAATCTGTAAAGAGCAGAAAGGAAACTGTCAGTATGCCCCAGCGAAAGTCAGCAGAAAGTGGGGATATGAATGCAGCTGCTTTTTACCTCCAAGGACTAATTTAACTTCTGACCTCATTTGGCTGCAGCCAGAAAAAAAAATTGAGAGGAAAAAAAAAATCGATGTCTGCTGCCTGTGTGGAGTTGGAATGAGCTAGAGAAGAAAATGGCCCCTTGCTGCTCAGCACCTTGCAGGGCAGGTGCAGCTTCATCATTCCATACAGCTGCATCCCAGAACTTGGGTGAGCTGAAATTTAATAGCAGATAAATAGCATAGGATGTTGCTGCAGGCTGCAAATGGGGGGGAACTTTATGGGTCCCCAGCCTCATCTAAGCTCTGTCACAGCCAGCATCTCTATTCCGTAGACATAGCTGCTTCCCTGCCAGCCACCCATTGGGAGATTTGCCGGAGTCTGGAGTCTCCGCAGTGCTGTCCTGAGTAAGGAGGCTGATTTGAGCAAGACCGGGACAGTGGGGGAATCCAGATATCCGAGCCTGGCCCACGTCATCTTGCTACCCTGCCTCTGTTGATAAGCAGGGCGTCCTGATGGCCTGGACTTTCCTTTCCCCTGGGGACCTCATCATCACTCTCCCAGATAGGGAGGTTGGCACATTTGCTCCTTCAGACCACTGAGGCCAGAGGGCAGGACTATTGAAAAATTACAATGAAATAATAGCCGCCCTTTGAACCTACAGTTCCTGATCCAGGAGCCCTCAGCCTGGAAAGAGAAATTAAAGCATGATTGAGCTGTAGCTGTGATATTGATCTGTGCTAATGTTGTCTGCGGAGGGAGACAGAGGCTTGGAGGATGAGGGAGGAGGCGAACTTGTTCATTGACTCCGGGGTGGAGGAGGCCGAGTGGAATGTCACCACATGGAAAAGATCCCTAGTCGTGGAGGCAGGGCTCAGAGCCAGGCTCCAGCTGAGCGCTTGACATGCATTATGTCCATCAATCCTCCGAGGTGGGTTTTTATATAATCCCTGTCTTGCAGAGGAGGAAACATCAGAGAGGTTGAGCCACTTTCCCAAGGCCACAGAGTAAGTGGCAGAGGCAGAATTTTGACCCCAGTCACTGTCAGTCTTCAAAGCTCAGGCTCTTAATTTTGGAATTGGGGGTGGATAAAGGGTACGCACAGCCGCACCAATGCCCAGCTCATTCTCAGATGTGGCTGTGACCCTAACCTCGCATATAACCCCTGGGCCACCTGGCCAAAGCCCATGTAATCACCAAGGGGGCACAGCCATGAAGGGGCAATGCAGTCAGACAAGGGCCCAAGAATCGGGCTAGGGTAAGGTTTATTTTTCTGTGGCTGTTCCTTGTCTGCTCCTATCTTTGGCTGGCACTGCAGTGAGAGGTGATCTGGCTTTTAATGTCATATGGGATGGGGGGTGCTCCTGGCAGAAACCCAGATTTCCTGCCCCTCCCTGTTCCACCCCCAGGTACTCCAGGTCTCGCTTACAGTGTATTATTAACTGCCAGCACCTGGAGGGGCCCAGAGAGCAGGATGTGAGAAATGGTGGCCTGGTGGCCCAAAGAGCTTAATAAGCCACCCTCAGTGCCTAACGGACAGTCAGGGACTCAGCTGGGCACCGGGGAAAAGAGTGGCCAGTGATTAGAGGAGTCTGGAAGAGGGCTAAATGAGGCATGCAGATACACACTCTCCCCATTGCCCAGGGGAGTCACGGACCAAGCTAGGTACATAATAAAAAATGCCAATTTCATTTATCTTCCTGTCTGTGTCCTGCCCAGGGGGAGGATGAGCAGATTAAAAAGCACACTGCATTTATGGGCTGGTGCAATCTTAGCACTTGCAGAGAGTTATAACCTCTTTCTGGAGAAGGAATCTTTAACCAAGTCAAGTTCTTGGGCCCCTGTCTGACTGTGTCACTCTTTTTTGTCAGTGCCCTACCGGTGATCACATGGGTCAAGGCCATGTGGCTCAGGGAACCATTTGAGGCCAAGGTCACAGCTACATCTGAGAACGGGCTGGCCCACTTGCTTCACTCTCTTGGCTACTGAGTACCCCTGACCCTGGTCAGCTCTCTCAGAAAGGGTACCACTGGGCAAGAAATAACCCTGGTTGTCTATCCTAGGATAGTATTTTCTTAAATGTATTCTCTTGAATACTAGTTCCATAGGCTATTAATAGCTATTTCTAAAAAAAGAAAAAAAATGGCTTCATGGCTAATGGTGGAAGAAAACCAAGCTGTACCTGTATCATTAATACAGGCCTTCTCAAAGCCTTTCAAATGTAAATATCTACTGAGAATCTCCAAGTAGGGGATATGGTAAGCTTCACGGAGAATCTCACCCAGCCAGTGCTCTGTAGAACACAGGCTGGGAAGTGTCAGCAGCCTCAGAATGGCAGGAATGGTGAGAATAGACCATTCAGGACACACAGTTTTAATCATGTGCCATTACCGGGGAGATGTCCTGTTCAGACCACTCAGTGCATTATAAGAACAAATTAAAGTGTATGTTGTAGGGGAGCAAATGTCTGGGCTATGAGCGGAATCGTTAGGAACCCAAACCCCCGCTGAGCCCACAGCCCGGCTCCTGAGTTCACCTCCATTCCCTTGGCTTTTGGTGTTTACATGGCTGCTCTATAACCTGGCTGCCACTGCCATCCCCACGCCTTGCCTCCGTGGGGACTCATATCCCATGGCCATCTGGACCTCTGAGAAGACCCTTCTCTCTTGTGTTCAGAGGAGAAACAAAGGCTGTCTCAATGTATAAACAGGGCCTTGTGCAGGAAAGGCAGATACATCATGTAGGTACCATGGCTCCTTCATTCCACACCCAGCACAGATATCATTCACTATCACAGTTCTCTTTCCCCAAACCTAGGAGCCATGCCAGTCTTGTCAACACAGTGATCCAGGCAGCATTGTCATTCGATCAAAGTTGACACACTTTAAGAAAACCTATTTGCTTTCTGTGGCCTAGACTTGCCCACATCTGGGACAGGGAGCTGTGGGGAGCAGAGTGTCTGTACGTGGCCAGGTGTGATGATGGTATTGGCTGTTGCCATTGAGAATTCAGGGAGGGGCTTGGGAGAATTCAAAGGAAGGAGGTCTGGAGTTGCTGTGACTGGGATTACTTCCGGCCTGGGTTTATCAGAACAACCTCTTCCTTGCTTGTGGGAAATGTCTTTTGAGCTCCTCACATATGTTCTATGGTGAAGGATCAGTGATGTCATCTTCGCCAAGTACAAGTACACTCATTCACTCATGCAAGCGTGCCCATCCATTGATCCAGTGAGCATCAATAGGTGCCTACAGAGATAGCATTTTGCTACTGATTTCCTTAGGGAGACAGGCAGGAGACAGAAGATGTTGTCCTTGTGATGTGGGTTGGAACATTCATGAAACAATGGAGCAACAGGCCTTAGGTCAATGGAAAGGAGAGATTGATTGGTACATGGAGGGAAGGCAAGCAGGAGAAAGCATGCTAGAAACAGAACCTGATACTCTGCAAACCTTGGCCCATAAACCTATGAAAAATATACCCTGGAGTTTGGAATGCTATCTCTTCGAATGCCATCCTTGCCTCTTCTATGAGAATAACATTTTAGCTGGGCATATGGCAGCCCAGCAAGACTGTTTCCTAGACTCCCTTGGGCCTCGGTGTGCCCACATGTTTAGGTTCAGGCTAATGGAATCTGAGAGGAAATGGCATATGCCTTTCCTGATGTGTGCCTTCTATATGGATGTGTAAGTGTCCCCTGGCATTTTTCTGTCCCCCTGGCTAGGAGATAAGGGGACCTGTCCTGGGCTCACAGGTAGTAGGCAGAGCCACTACTAGCCCAGAAATCACCTGCTTACCTGAGAGAGAAATGAACTTTATCTTGTTTGAACCCCTTATGTTGGCGTTATCTCTGTTATAGCAGTTTAGTTGCTACGTTACAAATAAAACCTTTTCGGGGCAAAACTTCCCCCAGAGTCAATTGGCTAGTTCATTCTGCTTTCTTTTGGGGCTAATCCCCAAGTCTAGCTAGACACTCATCCTTTCTCACATCAGATCAAGGACAGCAGAATTTCTGGTGGGTCCCTGGGGGATGAGGATACTGGACACCAGAACGTCTGGATGACTAGAGGAAATGAGGCTGTCCATGATGGGTGCCACCATGGGGCAAGGGTGATAACTACTCATTTCAGCTTTGCTGGGCTTGCTGAAGGCATGCGATTCTGATTCCTATTTAGAGGAGCAAGAACACGGGGGCCCAGCCCATGGGACCCTTACCTGCTCGGCTCCAGTCACTGTGTAGGCATGCTGGCTCACCAGGCCATTCTCCATTCTCGAGTCATCACCTGTTGGCTTCAAAGGAGCAAAGCAGACCATGCATTAAACAAATATTCACAGGTTCCTCAAAGAAATAAAAAAGCACAATCCAATCAGCAGCTGAGCCATGGCTGGGTGAAAAGTGTCCCACTGACTCACATTGGAATGGCATATATCCTGGCACTCTTCTCCAGAGAGGCAGAGTTTGAAGGCTCCTGGGTGGTTGAGGCCCAAGGTATTTCATACTTCAAGACACCACCCCATTACTGATAAACCCCCCAGAGAGTCCTGAGGACCTGGGCTGCTTGCTCCTTCAATCACTCATCTTCATGAGACACAGCACAAAACCTGTCTGCCAGGTATACCCACCACCCCTGTGCTATGAGTAATTGGGGTT